GGGGGGGGGGGGGGGTGCTGGTGAGAACAATGCATGTACTTCTGCCTGTCTACAGGAGTAGACATGGTGGAGGCAACTGGGAAGGGTGTATACGATGGGTTGAAAATGTCGCACGACGTCTGCCGCCGTCGCCGACTACTGCTTGCTGCAGGAGCTAACGTTACAGAGGCGACGAAAGACCTCGAAAAAGAGACGTGCACAGGTTGCAGTAGGCAAGTTCAGAACGTTTAGCTTTCATGAACCTTGGGGTGAAATTGTCCTTAACGCTGTCAGTTGAAGCCAACACGAGCGGGTGTCGAGGCAACAAGAAAAAGAGCGGAGTGAAATCTGCACGCTCCGGCTCAGACAACGACAGAAGGACCTCTCGTCACAACAGCAGCACCGCGTACCACCCCCTTGAAGCAGCGAGTTCGATGTCAAAGGCCTTTCTCTACCAATTTTTGCCTGTTTGTCGTGGTTCTTTGGCTCTCTCAACCCCTCCGCCTGGCTTCCGTATTCTCTATAATGTTGTCTGTGCTTTCATTGCTCTCGCACCTCTCGCCAGCCGGCCCCCATGATGTCGAAGTCGGTGGGGACAAGCGGTCCCAGCTCGTCAACTCTCTCTGGGTCGAAGGGGGGGAAGATCATCTGGCCCTTGCCGACGTGCTCAGACAGCATGTCGTCGACCCTGATATCCAAATCGAAGAAAGGGGAAAAAAAAGGCAACAATAAACGAGGTGCGATTCAAGTTCGAAGTTCGATCTCGGTACAAAAAAAAAAAAAAGGGCGAAAAAAGGCAACGTGACGAGGGAAAAAAGTGTGAAAAGTTGGGGGGGGCGGCTGTAGCAGCAAGAACCTCTTGGAGAATAACGCCTCCTGCAGCACAGCGTCAGCAAAGACGGAGTACCAGGCTCCCTTTCCGTTTTTGCTGCCAACAAGGAGAGGGCAGAAGCAATTGCCCGCGACATGCTCGCAATAGCCAGCCAGAAGCCTTGGTTGGGCCCGGTGCTAGCAATTGTTTCGCTACCTAGACACCGCGCCTGGGAACGCAGTGGGGGCTGGGGAGTGTACTCAGGTAAATACAGGTAGTCGCTAAACCATTGGCCTCGCATCGCTACAACACAGGGACGAAGCGGTTATGTATGGCAGGTTTTTGCCGGCCGAGGTTACGTTTAACAAGGAAGAACCAGAAGCTGATAGTGCCATCATGCGTTCGATGCGCCAAACCAGATATGCCTTGGGTTGTTTGGGCACCCCGGGTAACCGAGTTTCACATTCGGTAGGCACAACTATACGAAAAGTGCGGCAAGGGACTTCGATCTTTGCACGCTTGTACGAAACAGGCGCGCCACACACACGAGCACAGAGTGGGGGGTACCCCCCACTCATAGTCGTGCTTGCCGTAGTCGTTAGACGATCGACTTCGCATCCCTACAAAGCCGGGACGGAGCACGTGGATTCTCACCGGACCAGGCTACAATAGCACATCACCAAGGAGCGCGGGAGGGCGTACTCACGATGTGCACGCCTTAGCGGGGAAATCACCACCAGCATCCCGAAAACACTCCCCGGACCGAGTTATGTTACATGGTCGGATGTGCTTTGTTTTGGGTACATACTGTCGAGTTTTCAGTGTTGGGGGGCGCAATCAATTGTGTGCGCATGTTGCCGGGTACGTACCTCCTCGCGTCAGTCGGGTGCAGGCGAACGTCGTTCGACACGAAGAAGGTGAGCAGGAAGGGTCGGCCGGTCACCACCTCCACCCTCGCGAGGCCGCCCACCAGCACCACCTTGCCCTCCCCTACCCGGAAGGTCACGTGGTCTACCTGCAGTCTCGAAAGACCCACACACGCGCGCGCGCGCGATAAAGCGAGCAAAACACGAATGATGAACAAAGCATATACTGCTGTACGTATGTGCCCAGCGCATCGACCGGCGCTATGCAGATATCAGTCTTTGCCCAGCGATTTCACCAGAGCTTTCTTCAGGGCCACCGGCGCCAATCAACCGCCGCTATTTAGTGACGCCCCGTCACTGCTGTACCATTGGTTGCTGCTAACACGGTTTGTTGAGGTTGAGGTGGTTCCCAGAATCCGCCTGCGGCCGCTGTCCTCGGAAAATTGTTGACCGACTTGTCTACTTTTGCTGGCTCTCCACGGGAAATCGTCCTTCTACAGGGCGGCGGCGACCGCTGAAGACACCGAAAACATGGTTTGCCGGTGTGCCACGGGAGGCTGCAAGGTTATAGGGGGAGCGTGTTGCAACAACAACACACGATACAGAGTATCGGTGGGCCAGAGCAGCCTGGAAGGCTGAGGGAGCGTGCTACGATAGCAGCACAAGGTATAGTTAACCAGTGTGCCAGAGCAGCTTGTAAGGCGAGGGAGTGTGCTAACGATAACAGCACACGATATGGCATAATATGGCATACCGGCGAGGCAGAGCAGTCTGAACGACTGCAAGATGGCGGGGGAGCGTGCTACACTGGCACACATTCTACAAATATCGACATGCATGCATATGGGCGATGCAGAGAACAAGACCTCTGCGGGAAGGATAAATTAACATCACCCCGACATGGTTTACCGGTGGGCCATAGGAGCCTGTAAGATTGAAAGGCGAGGGGGAGTGCCAAGGTAGCTGCTAAGGTGTGGTAGCACGTGTGGCGTCACCCAGCGCACCGACCTCGGGATGGTTAGGGGCAGGGTTAGGGATAGGGTGACGTAGCACGTGTGGCGTCACGCGCCTTCTTCCTCGGGATGGCTGGGTTTAGGGATAGCGTAAGGTTAAGGTAGCACGTGCGGCGTCACTCACGCACCTTCTTCTTGGGGATGGCCGCCCTCAGCTCCTCCGCGTTGAGGCGAGACGTCAGAGTGTGCGGCAAGAGCAGCCCCGGGGTGTCGTACAGGGCCCTCTTGTCTCCAAGATCCACCTGTTGTTGTTGTTGTTGTCGTCGTCATTGTAGTTGTCGTTGTTGTTGTTGTTGAGGCGCGTTAGGGTTCGGTTCCAGGTTGAAAATGGACGCAGCAGGCAAAGGCGTGGGAGCGTGCGAAGCGGCACGTCGTTCGACACGGGAATCACAGCAGCAAATGGCACGGGGCACTTGTTAAAATCACCAACATGACCAGCACTATTTAGCGTCACAACAACAGAGGCACTTGATGCCACTTCCACCACCAACTACTCTGCCACCAACACCGACACCAACACCAGCAGTAGCGCAACATACAAACCGACACAAGAGGATAACTGGCTCTGATATGAGAGGTTCGAAATGGGTTGTCACGTCCTCGACCCGCTATAGAACAGTTGGGTAACCTCTTATTCCGGGCTCCAACATGAGGGGGACGAGGGCCTTGGTCACACCACCCTCTGATCTCGGAGCCACAAAACTGTTGTGCACCTAAGAAGCAACCAAACCGTTCAACGGCAGCTTCTTGCCTTGAGGAAATCGAGCGTAGTTCCCGGAACGCTGCTGACGGTAACACCTCTCCCCGCCACCGCGGGCGCTTTGCCGCCCCTGCCACCCCCCTTGCCCCCCTTGCGCCTTGCGTCGCCCCCGCCGTTGTTTCCCCTAGAGCATCACACAAACAAGAGACAAGTCACAGCGTTCTCAACGAGTAAATGTCAAGGACGCCATCCATCTCTCTTCCCTGTGTGCTCTATTCACTACTCGATGGCCGCTCATGGTCATCACCGCTCGATGCGGTATGGACTTATTACGGAGATATGGTAGATCATAAACTGCTCGACATTCTTGGCAAAACGTGAGCATACTAAGAGAAAGTAGCGGGATGACTCCAAGCAACGCCAGGCCAATCGAGGAAGGACCAGGTTTTCGGTGGCTCACTCAGCGCATGTCACCTACAGTTCATTTTATTGGGCGCGAAAAAATCGGCGAGATATTCTAGACACAAAACAGTTCGCGCCAACAGCTGCGACACCACCAGAAAGAAGGACGCGCGCGACTGGTGATGGGGGAGGGGGGGG